GCTGACTCTGTTAATGCCTCGGTGGTAATGAGGTCGGTGTGTCGCTCTTTGATAACTAGCGATGAAATGATTGTAGATAAGACTCCACTGCTAGATTACTCCTTGAATCAGTGGATCATCATCTCAGTATTGAATGATGCACGATCTTCGAGCTCACTGCTTCGTCTCGGATCTTTGTACTTGGAACCGATGCCCCTCTATGCTCTGTAAACTAACTCCATTAATACCGCGGCTATGCTGAAGTTTGTGCTTCACTCCCTGATGGTTAACGATGGAATAATTGTGGGTGAGAATCTACTGCTGGATTACTCCTTAGATCAGTGGATTATCATATCAGTCTCGAATGATGCACGATCTTCGAGAAAATCTCATTCTTGTACTCTGGACTTCTTTTTAGCCCTCGATGCATGTCTGTGTATGCGATCGCTTGATTGAAAACTTTTATCTCTTCTTGTGAAAATTTTCTCTCGAATATCCCCTTACGGATCAACACTTTTGCATTATGATGATGCAATGCAATGCAATGCAAATGACAAAATGACACAAACAAAAGAGAAGAAATAAGTTAGTATACACAAACAAAAGAGAAAAATAAGTTAGTACATGTAAAATAAATGATACAAATAAAAATGTAATTCATAGATGGATATAACACCTACCCCGTCATGATATCTACCCAAACATGCTTTCAATTAAATAACAATCCTACCCGGACATGCTATCTACCCAAAATGATCTATTTTCAGGAAATTGGTCCTAACTGCATGGTATCTAGTTCGCATGCTTTATTCGGGAAAAAAATATATTCTACAAATTTAAAGGGTTTAGAATCGTTCCTCCTTCGTGTACACCTATTTTGGGTACCTACTGACGGACAAAGGTTCGGTATGACTATACCTAGGGTGATCGTTCGACGGTTCACTATATGCTTGGTTTCGGCTCTAACGGAAAAAAGGGACTCGAATTGTCCTTGATGTCGGTGCCCCCTTGGGCTGCCAGACCCTCGATCCTCACCCATTACAGGTTTCAAACGGAACGAGTTCAATTCGAGGGGATTCACTATCTTATACCCGTACGAGGAATAAATCCCTACGAAGGTATAAGGTATGTATCCCATGGGTTATTTGCTAAAACTCATACGAAGAATAAATTCTTACGAGAGTAAAGCATTCACCCCAACTAATTTGGGTCGAAGCTCGTGTCTAGAGCTTATGTTATGCCAATGCGAGTGATGTGTGTGAGGAGGAACATACCTACCTTCGACCCAAAAGGAAAACAAAACAAGGAAAAATGATAAAATCCTGACAAAGCTGAAAGCCAAAAATAAAATGTTAGTACGAAAAAAAAACCGAAGCAATTAAAAATTTCAATAAACGGATCATAAATTAACTAAAACTAGAAATCATAATTTCCACCAAGATGACAATATGTAAACGACATACAGCCTGACTCTCTAAAAAAAGTCCCCAGCGGAGTTGCCAAGCTGTCATAACCATTTTTTGTAAAACAATTAAATATTATTTTAAAAACGATTATGACTTTAATTTAGAAAAATTGGGGAATTTGGAATTAATTTGGAATAATTTGAATAGAGTCGCCATCGACCTTTAGGTTAGGCAGGTCGAATACCTAAAAACGTCTTTTAAAACAATCTTTAAAAAATCATTTTTATAAGACAAAATTTGGTATGCGTCACCAAAGATTCGATTAAATGGATTCGGGAATCAGTTACGTGTAGGGAAAGATTAACACCCCACAACGCCCAAAAACTGGTACTGTGTCGCTTACACATTGTCGTAATGGTAGAAATTACAAATCGAATATAAAATTAAGATGTGATCCATTTATTGAAATTTAATCAATTTGCTTTGAATAAATTAATTACAGAAAATTCTTTAACTCGAAAAGAAATATCGAAATTAGTAATCCTCCATCAGGAAAGCTAACTCGACTATTTCTAGTTAATAAAAGAATATTCCCTCATTGATAAATATGCAAATCGAATATAAATGAAATTAACGTTTGCATTCAAATAAAAATGAAATAAATACTGAATTAAAAAACACACATTGCATTATTAAAATAAATTAATTAGTAAAATATACTCGACTTGTTGCAAGTTCCTATGTCGTTAAAATGCCGTATCGGATCGTACCACTTCGACCAAGTGGTACTTTCCACGCCCATTCTACGCATACGTGTTCTTGAAAATATAATCGAATATTTCATACATAGATAAAAATATAATGAAAATAAATGTAATTGGAAATACAAAAATAAAATATTTACATTACTAAAAAACATTATTTACATAATACAAATAACCGAATAACAAGTACAATAAAATCATACATAAATGACTACAATAAAATATTCACAAATATCAGGGATAAATTCGAACATCTACCAAAATACCTATCATATGAAATCAGAGACTAAAACGAAACTATTACAAATATTGGGTCTAAAGTCAAATATCCACAAAATGACATAACATACATTAATAGGGCTAAAATAGAAATACATAAACATAATGGATTAAATTAGTAAAAGCATAAACTAACAGGGCTAAAAAGTAATTACCATAGTTCAAATTGCACATATTAAATAATACAGGTGTTAAAAATGAAAATAGCCCATAAATATTGTTAGTGACCAAATGAGATAAACAGAAAGATAAAGGATCAAACTATACTTAAACCAAAAGCCCAACAATGATTAAAATAAAAATCCTACAAAAGACATGGCCAAATTAAAACATCAAAGAAAATACACCATATATAAAATTAGTGACTAAAATGAAATAAATCACAAATCAGGGCTCAAAACAAAGTATTTGCCCAAAGCACACTAGTGATCAAATAGGGATCAAAATGAAAAGGTATAAAATATCAACTCCAAAATAGAATAAATATAAATCATTAATTGATGACCAAAATGAAAACTACATGAAATTAACAGCTAGATATATAAACATTTAAAAGACATAATACAGGACTAAAATGAATTAAAACAAAACATTAAGACCGACTAATAATTAAACCAAAAGTGAAGCAGTGACTAAAATAAAATATTTAGAAATGATATGACCAGATTCAAATGTCAAAAAAAATACACAACACAAGCTACCAGTGACTAAAATAAAATAACTAAAAAACATTGATACTAAAGTAAAACATACATAAACATGACAAAGTAAACAAACTAGTGACTGAAATACAAATATTGTAAAATACACGTCTGAAACAGAATATTAGAAAATTCATTTAATGATTAAACAAACAGATTACAAAATATGGGGGACCAAACATGTAGTTAACCCACAATCCAAAAACACGCATAAGGTCCCCATAGAACGACGTCGTTCGACTGTGTGGTCATAAACCATATTTAGGGTTCTAAACCCTAATCCCTCATTATTTTCTTCATCTCTCAGCCGCTCAACCCTCCCCTCTATAACCTTCCCCTTCTCCACTACCGCAGAGAAAAATAACCCTCACCCCGGCCACCGTAAATCGGTGGCCACGGGGATTTAAACTGAACAATGGCCCACCCCTTTCTCTCTTTCTCCTCTACCTTCCTAGAACAAACCTAGAAACCGAGTCCTCCACCCAACTCGATTACACAAAACATTTACCTTTAAAACAGAAAGGCTTGTTGGTCCGGTGAAGCCGCACAACTGCAGTGGTGTCTCGTGTGAGGAAACGGTAGTGGCCGATGTACCAAAGGTGAGAGCTTTTCCTTTTTCATTCTTTGTTTTTTTCGGTATTTTTCCATTTTTTTTTGAAAACCCGAATGCCCCCCTAAAATGGTTGCCTCTTCTCCTTTTTGTTGTGGTTGCTGAATGATGATATCTAGAACTTAGGGAAATTATGGGTTGATTTGGTAGCTGGTGAAATCCTGAATTTTCGGGATTTATTTCGTTTTTTAAATAGGTTTTCAATTTAGGTTTACTATTGCTCTGATTTGGTTGAGAAACCGGTCAATGTTGATAGATTTACCATCACTGTTTGGTTCAGGATTGTCGGTAATGGCTTGAGGAGTTAACGGCGTCAGCTCACGCGTGCGGCTGTGGAAGTTGGAAGGCCAAGCGGTGACGGTTGGAGCCGAATAGTCACTGGCTGCTGTAGTTTTAGGGTTAGGGGATTAGGATAAAAACTCTAATCTATTTAGGGTTTAGTTAGGCTGGATGTATTGGTGGGCTTAATAGCCTGCATCAAAATATAAATATTTGTATTAATATAATAATAATAATAATAATAATAAATAATAATAATAAAATTAAAAAAAAAAAGAGGACCCGGACAAAAACGGGTGTCTACAAATATGATCAATATTATATTCATATCTACAAAGGCAATCAATTAAATAATTTATATAAATTAAAACATTGACTCATTCATTACCACTAGTACGCTAAAAGCAAACTTTTAGGTTAAACTACATTCTAATTTATCAATTACTATTAGTTAAGTTATAAATGGATCGATCCTTTTATTTAAAGGAACATTCTTTTCTTATTAGAAATTGCAGAAAATATATTGAACATCCAATTTTGAGTTAACAATTACACACCTAATCGATCCTAAAGTTAATAAGCATACTCGAATCACCTTAAACATGCCAAAATACATCAAAATCATGTTTCATAATATTCAATCAACATCTGAACACACTTCGAGAATAAAAAATCCAACTATGCACTTAAAATTATTTTTTAAGAATTCAACTAGTCTTTTTTTGCTTTACATTTAAGGTCTTTTATCTATTCTAACAAGTTTATAGTATCATTATCATGCTTTGTGATTTAACATTCAATCAATACGACTTACTTATAACTTGACTAATAATTCAGCGACCAGAATGGAGTTTACGCATGACTAATAAATCGACTGAAATGTCATTTCCAAGACAATTAATCAAATGAAAACGGATTAAAACTAATAGTTTATGTATTAAACGCATAGTTTACCCTATGTGTGCAACGCTAGTAAGTTACGGCAGTTCAATGAGCTTTGCCATTCAACAGATGTGAAGTAAGAAATGTTCAAACAAATAAAGAGTGATATACACACCAGAAAGAAAAAAGAAATCACTTCTCAAATATACATTCTACTTGATTTCCTCCCACAAAAAAACACCTACAACTCAAACTCAACAGATTTTGGTATCGAAACTATCAATCTGATTTAATATCAGAGAGAGAGGGGGGGGGATTACGATGTCCCAAAGCATCATCGCAGTTTGTAATGCGCTACCCGATTGATATGGCTCCTTCATGCGTTTTTAGCTTAGCTCTGAAAAACTCAAAACTAGGATGAGGATGATCTGCCCGAAAAAGATTCGCCCAAAGAGACCGACGCCAGTGAAGAAGCCCAAACACGGGCGCTCTTGGCACCTTGATGGAAATTTCTTGTTTTGCTCAGCCTCAGTTTCGTCCAAACTCTTCTCACATCAACCATATGAAGGGCTCGCGCAAATAATTGACTCGTCTCACCGAAGATCTCCAACTTCAAGTGTGGAGCATATGAAACCCAGAAAGCCCTGAGACGAGACATTACTTTAGGGAATATGGATAGGAGTCCTCTGAAACAGAGAAACAGAAAGGCAAATGCTAGGTAGGGCTCCTGTTTTACTATCTCCATCGGGGTTTCATTCCACAACTGTATCATGTATTTATTGTCACCTTCTGATACAACTGGCTCGCTTTCAGCCATATATTGAACTGGTTCAAATCCTATAATGCAGAGACTCCTGTTAATAAACTTGGAATGATGCTCAACTCACAAACTAGGGTTATGTATAAGGTGCTACAGTTCTGTTATGCTTCATAGTACACAAAATAGCAAAATTTATGTTATTATTTTTTTTCGTAACTAGAGATATAGCTGAAGTTTCCAATGTACAGGGTCATCTACTTGATAATCAAAAGCAGTAAAAGATATATTTTTGGCAGAGAGCAAATACCTGTTGTTTTCTCATAAAATTGTACGATTGAGGGGATATCTTTTGAACCACGATATCGCACCCTTGTGGTCTGGTTCACCATTAAAATTGAAGGCAAGCTATGAATTCCATACTTTGAAAATATGCTGTGATAGACACATATCAAAGGAATTAGTTATGAAATCTATTATTAGACTTCAACGGTAAGAAAAAGAATGGTTTATTTGATTGATAATTCTGCTTTGCATATTAATGATCATAAGGGTATGCCGAGTTAAACGAGCTTATTCATAAAAGAATTTATTCAGGCATCGGTTAAGGACTTGTTAAGAAGTACAAAAGAAGTATCACATGGTAAAATTATATATATGTTCGGTATTTTACTTGAGTAGCAGACATGAGCATCTAATGTTCATATATTTTACTCGGTATTTTACACAGTAAAATTATATATATTGGCGGGATACACAACAGCAAAAACATATAAATTGATAGAAAACTACTCCAAAAGCCATGATTACTAGACTCCATTAGCAGACAAATCACTTCAATTGATATGCGTGCTTTCACAAATGCTTTTTTCTTAAGGAAGCTTTCAAGTACATTTGTAATGGTGCACCAAACCAAGAGGTCCAACACAGGAAACATCAATTAAATAATTAGTTCACAAAAACCGATACTTAAAGCAGGATAAGTATCTGCATACCTTGGTGAAGCTGAAGACTGTTCAACGGCCATATGCTCTACCTGAGGAAACATGGAACTGAGAATTTCCAACTTTGGGTACAAACTGCGTGAAAATGGGCACCAGGATGCATAAAAGAGCACAGAAGTGTAACCATTTCTCTGTTTGGAAATCAATGCTCGGTCCAGGAAGCTGCCATCCACCTGCAAGGAAAATTATAAACATGCATAAAAGATTATCAGAAGGTTTGTCTCCTTGAAACAGCAAGTCGTGCAAAATATTGATCCTTGAAATACAATCAAATGACACACTGATCTGAGCTAATTACTGGAAAATTGACAAATCTGTGAACCATAATTATGATGATTAGAGGATCCTCCGCAAGGCAATTGCATGAGTCCTAGTTATTCACTTAATATTTAAAAATACAAGTTGATGCTCAAGATAATGGTATTCTTTAACAAAATTGTATAGAATTAAAAGAAAACATTTCCCTTTAAGGTAGAACAGAAAAAAGTGGCGAATGCAGAGAAAGAGTTGTTTCCTATTCTTGGTTTGCCTTTTGTATTTCTGACAACATCAACTTCTTTTAGTATCTCTGTCGGTAAGTTAACGGTGAAGTTTTCAATTGTTCAGTAGCACACAGAATTTAGCTAACTAAAGCATCATAAGCCAGATAATAATACAACAAATCAATTCAAATTAGAGGGTTAATGTTATGGGTCAAATCAATGTTAGGAAAGGCCGTTAATTTTGGTTATCTAAATCAAGGCTTAGGTTAAGCTTTTATTTCTTTCCTTAAGTTTTTTTACTATGCTTTTTTATTTCAGTCCATTATGTGTTTGTTTCTTTCCTTTCCTCTTTTTATATAATGAGCTTGGTTCTTATTTAAAGGGACGTATGAAATAATAAAACCGTAAGTTTAATTTATATAAAAAACACTAAAAAATTGGTCTCTCTTTAACGAGTCCTACGGTTTCAGTCTCCCTTCAATAAGCTGAATCATCAATCCCAAAACCACAGTCATAAGTCAGAACAGTTAACTGAAGACACTTGGATGGATATATAATTGCATGGGCACTCATTTTCATGGATATATTTTATCCCTGATCGGGTGAGGGGACATTGAGCACCTGTATCTCATGTACACTCATTTGGGTTACAATGATCACTTTTTTGGGGCATCAGATATATCCTATAAACAGACTCGTAAAAGAGACATTACCTGCTAGCTTTCCTTCTGAAAGGGCCAAAAAGAGGATAGACAGATTATGATTTGAGCTATGCACATGTATATATGCATGTTAGCGTGCACGCATATCTTCTAAACCCATTAATTCAAGAACAACGAGTCTATCCTATGGATTCTTACCATCATTAGATCTATACCTTAACCGAAAGCACAAAGACAACAGTTTCTGATCAGAGATTGAGATAGTAATAAAGTTGCATATTGAGGGTCATTTAAGCCTAGAAGGAAGTTGGAGATCAAAACATAAAAAAGATAACAAAGTTTACGTTCTCAGCCATCTAGAATATAGATTCTTTTCCAGCCACAATCTAATAATCAACAAAATCCTGCCACCATAGAGCTACAAGTAGGCGACTAAAGAAAAAACCATTAATGTTTCATATTTCACCAATCCGGCTTATTTCCAGCTGATTTGCACAAGGCTTAAATACATGATAATGCAATTTCAGTCAAAATGTTCCAGAAGATAATAAAATAATTCAAAGGCCCTAACCAAGACTAACTAATATTAACGAATGAATGGCTAATCAATTTTGCAACTTCATTTCTATATTCTTTATTTATTGTTTTTCGAAATTCAAATTAAATTATATTGTAAGAATCCAATACCCCCATAATGCAATAACGTCATGAAAATTCCGTAAAACTACCCCGATCATTCATTATATAAACCCAAAATTTCCTATAATTTTGACTTCTTTTTACAAAATTAAGAAACAAAGCGTAAATACCAAGAATCCGAAATCAAAGAAAAATAATTAAATCTCAAGAATCCATTTTCCTAAACCAACTAACAAAGCAATCTACAAATAATAAATGATAATTCCAACAATATTAAGCTAGAATTAAAACGTACCTTCAGAGGGGGGATTGGAGAAACCGAAGGGGAGCACTGAAAATGAAGATTTTTAACGAACACATCAGCTTCATGCGAACAAATAGAAGAACCCCAAACGCAGCTTATTAAACAAAGAGATATAATATAGGAGAACAACATAACAAATGAAGAAGAACCCATTTCTGGGTTTGATTTAAAAAAGAACAAAATAAAATTCACAACAACAAGAAGAAAAGAGGGGGCAAAATTGAAGCCCAGAAATTCAGATATAAAAATAAAGGAATATATAGATTAATTTGGGGGAAAAGGCAGGTGGGTGTGGACTATATTTTTTTGGGGGGGAATGGAGGGTAATCTAATCTAATCGCCGCCTGCATGTAAATTTGTTTTCTTTTTTCTCCTTTAAAGCGTCTAAAATTGCTCTGCTGTTGGGGACGGCAAATATTCCGGGGCTTTAGGAATTAAAAAGATTTCAACAGTAGTTAAATTGCATTAATGCTCATCAAATGTTTAAAATTTGCATCGCGAGTTGAATTCTTAATCATAGTACATATGTTATTGGTGAAAAATTTTAAAAAATATATGAATTGTATTTGGTGAGGATCAAACTTGAATCTTAATATTTAATTACAACACTTATTTTTTAGTTAATTTTTCAGTTTAGTTTACTTTTTACTCGGTACTCACGTATCAATTTTGCAGTAATATATTTCCAATATTTTAAAGTTATATTCGCTATTTGAGATATAAAATACTTATTTTTATATTATAAAAAATAATTATATATTAAATAAAAAATTCAATTCAATTCAATTAATAAGCATAATATATATATATATATATTACAAAATCAACTAGTTTTATTAGAAATTAATACAAAAACTAGTCCATTAAGATCACACACGGATTATATAAGAAAAAAAGTTAAATACTTAACCAAAAAACTCGAATAAAATATAGATACGAACAAATTTGGCCTTATCAGCAAACAAATCACAAAAAGGGATAAAACTACTTAAAGACTATCGGTGAACCATAAATCAAAATCGAGCAAAGTGAAAAAAAAAAACTATTCACAAACGCAAATCACGTATCCAAATCCAATTTGAGAGTTCAAAACAGGAAAGATCAATATGATAATAAATAAACGTCATTTTGATCAGTCGTGATAATGTTAAATCTAATCATGAGGAAAAAGATAAACTACAACAACAATCAAACAACCGAAATTGTGTCATAAATACAAAAAAAAATATGCTATAATGGTAGAGAAAAATGTATTATAAAGATAAAGTTATTGAAAATTAAAAATCAAAGGTAAAAATTGTGATATAAGAAACTAAAGGAAAAATATAATTATCGACGGTAACCCACAAAAAAAATAGTATTATTATATATCAACCAAGAATGAAAAATAAAAAAAATATACCACCGTAAATTATTTTGAGAAAAACGACTAGGGTTTTTTTCCTTCTATCCCACAGTCAATAAGCACAGTTTTAAACCATTAAACATTTTGGTTTAATCGATTATTGATTTATTTAGGTTCTTTACTCACCTTGATGGTAAGCTTAAATCACCATTTCATTTTATAGGGTTTTTCTAAGGAAATTTGTTTATACACGTGTAAAATTTATTATTCATATTATGCCTATTTTAATGGCATTCATCCTAAATGGTTAGGATTTTTAAGTTTTAAAATTTTAAAATTAAAATAAATAAATTATATTTACACAAAGATTTATATTATAAATAAATATTTAAATTATATAAATTTTTAAGTATTTAATTTTTTTTCAAAATAAATACCCAAAGTTATATTTTTTATAAAAATAGATACTTAAATTATTTTTTGGTTAAAATATATACATGAAATATTCTATTTTTTCACTTAAGTATGTACAATATCTTTTAATTAATGCAATGTTGGATCCAAAATTATTTTTTAGTGTGACCACATATATATATCAATAATATAATTTTTTTGTGTGGGTTGAGAACAAATAAAATTACAAGGTTGACACTGTCAATAAAATAAATAACTAATCAAAAGAAATCAAATTTCAGGTCGGGCATGTGTCCACCCTGAACAACAATGTACGTCTGCCACTTGTGTCAACTTTTTAGAATTTATATAGAAAAGATTGAATACTTTATGTATCTATTTTGACTAAAAAAATAATTTAAGTACTTATTTGTGATATAAGCCTTACTGAAACAATATATCAAATAATATTTTTTATAATTATATAGATTAATTGCTGAATTAGAGATAAATATAATTATTATTTAGTGAATTCAAATTAAATAGCGGCTACAGTGCATGCCAACACGGCAAAAACAAAAGACTTGCAAGTAACTGAAGTATGCATCTTGCCATTGTCCTTTTGGAAAAACAATGCTTGGTATACAGGCAAGTTGATTGTCACCAAAGCCAAGCACAGCAGAATTTGCACTCCAAATTGGTCCAAAACATTAGAGATGATGACACTCTTGATTGCTCCCAACATACCGATTAGGTTCAACATCGCAAGCGTGGCTAAAATATCGAACATTGGTGAAGCGGCACCGAACTTGATCAGTTCTTGTTCATATCTTTTCGAGACGTCTTCATCAGCTACCTTGGCGGTGACGATGAAGGCTAGTTGTGAATACCCTAATAGCTTCCAGATGGTTTCAGAGAAGGCAAAGAAGTATGAAGTTCTCTTGAACATCCACATCCGTTGATCATTGTACCAACCTCGAAACTTGCCGTTGCACCATACGTGTAACCCCCTCAGACCGATGCAGGTACCTCAATTCGATCTGGAGTGTCACATTAGGGCCACCGAAGCGACCCACTGTAAAAATAGCAGAAAATTTAAAACTTTTATTAAAACTTGTAACTTATAAAAGGATTTATTAGTACACAAAAAAATAAAACATATTTTCAGACTCAAATATTAAAACAAAATACAATTATATGCCCCCTAATCACATGTACCATACTCTGCAAACAACATCAGAAGAACTCCCTTAGTGATGACGATAGTTGCACTGGTACAATTCTTTTAATCTGCAAAGGTGAGTAATAGAGTGAGCTTCGAAAAGCCCAGTAATACAAAACTACCAGATGATGCTCAAGAACGTGCAGATACAGATAAACATATATTTCCTTATTGGTTCAGATATCTACAGATTTCTTTGGCTGAGCTGAGGTACCATTGATATTTCAGGTATTAACAGATAGTATTCAGTTCTGATGGAAAATATTTGGGATGTTTAGGTTCAAGAGATCATAATAGGTTTTCTAGTGTGTTCCCAAAAATCATGTAACTTTTCAGATCTTTTTAAAACATATATATATATATACCCCCATCCTTCAAGTCCAAAATGTGTAGGTCCCCCAGAATCATACACCCACCGCCAAGTCCAGTAAGGCCCTGAGCACACAGTCGAGGAGCCGGTAAGTAAGGCCCTGAGCACACAGCCAAGGAGCCTCCAGGTATACTTCCTCCAACATTACCCCCCAAATAAAACATGTTCCGTCTGTAAACGGATATATCAAAAATCAAAACATAACCCAGGTCAAGTATCAGATCAAAATCCAGGTCAAGTATTCGATCAGAATCCAGGTCAAGTATCCGATCAGAATCCAAGTCAGGTATTATAATAGAAATCAAATCGAAAATCAGGTAAAATATCCAGGTGATTAGGGAACACACCAGAGTTTACAGAAATTATTCAGAGGTACTGTATAATCTTAGCAGGTAGAGAATCATGAATCTTCAGTATATCAATAAGATATCGAAATTTAGAATCGCTATAGGAAGAGTTTAATAACTAACGAAATCAGCAGTTATTCAAAATATGACTTGGCTGATAAGGAAGAAATGAAGATTCAGGACATTTACAGTCTATGTCGATTGATTTCATTATCAAACAACTTCATATGAATATCTCCCAGAATTAATGCTTATCGACTGATCAATTCATTGTCCTTACATGGTATTTACACTTTAATATCACAAATTCTAATCCATATATAATCTTTGGAATCACTGCTGAATAAATCTTCCAATGCCTTTATTTCATGTTCACACTTCCACTATATCATGAAATGCTGACGTGCTTAATTTGTAGTTCAAGATCTATAAGAACATTACATCATGTATGTTCATAAACGTTTCTAAACTCATTCAAATCACTTACTTAATCCTTAGTCCTTGAGGTTACTTAGTTCATTTAACATTCAAGTCTATTCCATCTACTTCGGGATTTTCCAGAGTAATTCAAACATTACTGAATTTCATATACATGTTGTACTTCCGTTCCATTCAATTTGGTCTTCGTGGTTGATTTGTCGAACAAACGTCCAATTCTTAGTACTGAATACGATCTAGAGTTGAGCTGAATACTTCCAAAATTTATCAACGAGCCAAACTTGAGAAGACGAACACGCATTCAAGTAATATCTATGCCATCCAGGTATTGACATAGCTCTAGGGTTGATATACTCACTTAAATTGTGTTCTATTACTTTTAAAGGTAGTCCAATGCCTATGCTTATTTGGATTCCTTAATTAATCCAAGACATTTACTTAATATAGGCCATAAGGGTATTTTGGTAATTTTAGTGTTCAGTTTTATTCCATTCATTTCAGAGCTCGAGGATATCCAATAATTCCTGAGCTTGGTGATATTCTTGGGTCATTTCCATTACAGGGGTATTTTGGTCATTCTATAGATTCAGTGTATTTTAATCATTTTCTTACGTCCGATCTTATTATTAAATTCAATCTTATCATTTATTTCATTTCTTTCGAACAATTCTGATAGCAGAATACCCCCGATAAATTATTCTTCAGGTATTTACTCATTACTCGAATATTTTCGGGTCAAGTGCCTTCTCAAATTTTACAAACATAATATCATGAATTTTTCTATACAAAGACAAGATATTAACAATTAAATTCTTACTTAATCGAGTTAAGTACAAATCCTCAAAGTACTTTCTCATTCAGGGTCAACTCAGACTATTTTACCTCTCAAGGGCATTTTCGTAATTTCTTAACCAGATAATTTTGATATTTGCTCTTAACGAAAATAATTATAATTTTAAGATCCTATGGTTAATTACTTTTCCGAACATTCTATGATCTTGAAATTATTCTTTAACAAACTTCTAGCATCTTGTGCAAACCCTTTTTGGCGTTAAAAACCAGTTATCCAAATTTTCTAAACAAAACTATTATTTCTTATGCACATTTGTAATTATATCGGATCAATATGTATT